GTTATTACCGAATCATGGTTGAATTCAAATGTAACTAACAATTTTATATCTCAACCTGGATATGTAACATACCGAAAAGACAGGAATAATGACTTAGGTGGGGGCGGAATTTGTACCTTTATACGTGCTAACCTTTACGTCCTTGAAGTATGCGACTTGGGCGATCCGGAAGTTGAAAGCCAATGGTTCGTGTTAAAAACTGATCGGTTACCCAGAGGAATTAACTCTATTCTACTAGGAATTATTTATCATCCCCCACGTAACGACGACCGGCACCTTAGGTCCCACATCTTTAAATGCTTGGACCAACTCCTAACAACTTACCCGAACTCTGGCATTCTAGTTCTAGGAGACTTTAATCAGTTCCATCCAGGTAACCTCTGTTGTTCCTTTAAATTAAGAAAACTCGTTACAGAACCAACTAGGGGAAAGAATATCCTTGACCAAGCCTACACCAACTTGACGTCCTATTACAACTCTGTCATCTTACCTCCTATTGGCTCATCTGATCATCGTAGTATTTTATTGCAACCATCGTGTAGAGAAAACCCCAGCGCTCCAACTATTAGAATCCAACAACGTGAATGCAAGGCTTCAAACAAACGTGTTTTGATTTCAACACTAGACCATATAAACTGGACGCCAATTTATAGACTTAACTCATGCGAAGAACAACTCGATGTCTTTCAGAGTACGATTTCAAACGCCATCAATTTTTGCCTTCCAATGCGTTCCGTTAAAACCTACACCCGTGATAAACCATGGATTACTCAAGATATCAAAGGCTACATCAAAAAGCGCCAACTCGCCTGGGTAAGAAACGACACCAAACAATACAAAATTTACCGAAATAAGACCGCAAAACTCTGTAAAATTGCTCGTAAACGTTTTTACCAAAACAAAATCCGACACACGCAAGATATTAATCCTAAAAAGTGGTGGGACAACATAAAAATGCTCTCCGGCTTATCAAAACAGCAACCTCCAATGAGCATGCTTGTAAATGGTTCCGTACTCAAGGATAAACAACTAGCCGAGGCCATTAGTGATTCCTTCTATCGAGTCTCTAGCGATATTCCTACCCTACATTTCCAACCGATCCCAGTCACTTGTATCCCAGATTTGTACATAATTTCTCCCGAAGCTGTGGAGGCTCGTCTATCCTGCATTAACGAGCGTAAGGCAACTGGCCCAGACGAAATTCCGAATTGGCTGCTGAAAAGTTGCGCAGTTAATTTAAGTCAGCCAGTTTGTTCCATTTTTAACGCGTCGATTAGGAATGGCGAAGTCCCTAAACTATGGAAATCAGCAGATGTATTGCCACTTGGAAAGATCACTCAACCAAAATCTATCGAATCTGATCTCAGACCGATTTCTTTAACTACTGTTCTAAGCAAAATTCTCGAAAGTTTTGTGTTTAGTTGGCTTGCACCTATTGTAATGCCACATATCGATCCATACCAGTTTGGAAGTGTCAAAAGATCGTCTACTACACATGCCCTTGTACACTTAGTTCATTATTGGCTTTCTGCCCTGGAAGCACCAAACACGATGATCAGAACTTGTTTAATCGATTTTGCAAAAGCCTTCGATCGAATTGATCACAACATTCTCATGCATAAACTTTTAATCCTTGGGGTCCCTCCGGTGCTTTTAAACTGGTGCTCGAGCTTTCTCCAAGAAAGACAACAACGTGTTAAAGTGGGAACTCACAAATCAAGTTGGAAACAAATCGCAGCTGGGGTGCCTCAGGGAACCAAATTAGGCCCTTTGTTTTTTCTTATTATGGTGAACGATCTGAGATGTAATGCACCATTGTACAAATATGTTGACGACTGTGCGGTTACTGAAATCATTAAATCATTTGACTTGCAGTCATCCAGTTTACAACGTGAGATCGACTACATAAATCAATGGTCGGTTAAGAATAATATGAAATTAAATGTCACAAAAACTAAAGAATTCAATATATCTCTGTCTAGCGCCCCACATTCGTTCCCTGCTTTATCTATAGACAATCAACATCTCGAAGTTGTCCACACTGTTAAGCTTCTGGGAGTGTACTTGTCTGCTGATTTAAAGTGGACGACGCATATTGACCACATATGTTCCAAAGCCAGTAAACGTCTATTTGCAATTCGAATATTGAAACGAAACGGCGTTGAAGTGTGGGATCTTAGAAATGTATACTGTAGCTTCATACGACCTGTGCTAGAGTATGCCTGCCCCGTGTGGCATTTTTCATTGCCTGTATTTTTGTGCGACCAAATTGAACAAATTCAACGCCGGGCTCTGAAAATTATCTATCCTGATTTATCGTATAAAGACGGTTTGAACGAACTCAATCTGCCCACTCTTGTTGATCGGAGGGTTTCCTTGTGTGAACGGTTTTACGAGAACAGTTTTGGCACTTCAAGTAAAACTTCTGACCTTTTACCTAGAAAGAAATCTTATTCATATAACCTTAGAAATGCTAGAAACATTCCACTTTTTAAAACACGTACAAGTAGATTTTATGACAGTTTTTTACCAACCTGCGTACGGAAATGGGACTTGCCTTGAACTATTCCAATTTAATAACTTAACACAATAATGCATAAATTTGTATTGTACATATATTTTTATATATTCTAATCTAACTATTTTATTTTAATATTTGTTACTTGAGTTTTTCAGTTTCTTTGTAAACTGCCATTCAAGTTTTTAATAAATTCAATTCAATTCAATTCAATTCATTATTTGTTGGTCTGATTCGGAGGTTGCTCTAGCCTGGATTAGGGGTAAGGAAAAATCTTGGAAACTGTGGGTTGAGAATAGAGTGGTTGAAATACGGAAGGTGGTTGATAGGGCTGGTTGGAGATATGTAAAGAGTGGGCTAAATCCTGCGGATGTGCCTACTAGGATTTCTTCCAATATTTGTGAGTCTTTTACTGGTTGTTGGTTTGAGGGACCATCGTTTCTTTTGTCACTAAAGGATTATGCTGAGGTAGAAGTTGAGTATAGTGGTGGGGGTGAGATTTCCCAGGCGGGAATGGCTGACTTCAGTAATCAGACGCACAAGGGCCAAGATAACCAAAAATGTTCATTAAGTTCTGTCATTAACAGTGATCGCTTCAGCTCGCTAAAAAAGCTTATTCTGGTAACGGGTTACGTATTACGATTCGTGAACAATTTACAAAAGAGAGTGAAAAGAGAAACAAATTTGATCACGGAGGATATGATAACGGTCACTGAATATAACGAAGCTCTAATTATGCGGATTAAAGATGAACAGTTCCAGTTGAAGCAACAAGATAATTACTCAAAGCTCGAAGCATCGTTACATTTATTTGAAGACAAGGACGGTGTTCTTCGATTACGAGGTCGATTCGCCAATGCATCGTTACAATATGAAGAACAGTAACCGATTATTTTACGGAATAGACAAAGCTATTTTACTCGGTTGGTGATTTTAAACGCACATGAAGAGACAATGCACCATGGCGTAGAGACAACGTTGGCACGCATTAGATCCAAGTACTGGATTGTCGAAGGGAGACGGTCGGTCAAGCAAATGTTGAGAAAGTGCGTAGTGTGCACACGTGTGCAAGGACTACCTATGAGAGCTCCTCCAAGTCCAGACTTGCCTGACTTTAGAGTTGATCACTCTGGACATGCCTTTCAAGCAACGGGACTCGATTTTGCAGGTCCACTATTTGTCAAAGGAGATTTGAAACACGAGAAAACGTACATTCTCTTATTAACTTGCGCAACAAGTCGAGCCGTACACTTGGAGCTCGTACCGGATATGTCGATCGGTGGATTTTTACGTGGGTTTAAGCGATTCATGGCGCGAAGAGGTAGTCCGGATGTCATCATTCACGATAACTTTAAAACATTCAAAGCAGCTGCAGTCAAGAAGTTCATGTTATTGCAAGGGATCAAGCAGAACTTTATTTTGCCCTTATCACCCTGGTGGGGTGGGTTCTACGAACGACTTGTTAGGACAGTGAAAACGTGCCTAAAGAAAACTTTAGGAAAAGCATTTGTAACTTTCGAGGAGTTACAGACTGTGCTCTGCGAGATTGAAATGGCTATTAACAACCGCCCTCTAGCATACGTTAGTGACGACGATTTGGACGACGCATTAACGCCGCATCATCTAATACACGGTCGTAACGCATTTAAACAAGCGAAAGCAATTGATTTCGTTCCGACTATGGACCTGGAGAAATGTAAACGTAGATTGCTTCACGTGCGAAAGGTATTGAGAGACTGTTGGGCAAGATTCCGTTGTAGCTATCTGAATGAATTGAGGCAAATGAATATATATCGGAAGACAAAAGGTGAAAATACACGGCGTATTAGCGTGGGGGATGTCGTTCTAATCAAGGATAACGAAATTTCGGTGCGCACTCAGTGGAGAATGGGGAAAGTGTTGGAGTTAGTGAAAGGTCGCGACGGTCAGATAAGGGGAGCCAAGCTCAAGGTACTCTCCAAGAAGGGAAAACAAACGGCAGTGTTTCGTCCGCTTCAAAGATTGATTCCTTTTGAAATCAACGAAAATCACGACTGCATGAGTGAACAGCAACAGAAGGAATCTAACGATAGTGTTGATAAAGACGAAAATGTGAATGAACCTGCTGCGACAGTGAACGAGGAAACCAGTGCGAAAAGGCCAACGCGAAAGGCAGCAGTAGAAGGACAAAACTTGCGACGCCTTCGAGAACAATATAATTAATTAAGCACTTCCAAACATTCACCAGATTTACTTTTTGGTGGGGGAGAGTGTGGAAACTTCATTTAGTATATTTATTAGTTTCGTTTTGCCATTGGTCAGTTTGATCACATGATCATATTACGTGGTCAGACCACATGGAGAATTTATTCATTATTGATTAAGGGTTTGATCAGCACGGTGTTTATGTAAATTATGCCAATAAAAACTATATAAAAAGTTGGACTAGTCTCGCTTTTTAAAGACCGTTTTGCTTGGATCATTTTGAGTTATGAAATTTTAAGCGCGTTGGACGTAAACAACAAATCTTGTCTACAACTTTGGGAAGGTGCCGGTATCGCTTTCTAAAATTCTCAGTTTTGCCTCTATCTCTATAAAATCACAAGGACGTTAATATTAAGTCTTTGGGCTATGTCTCTGGGCTAAGAAATAATTCCTTGGCATGCGATCAAAATGTTTTATACCACGAGTGTAAAACGGTAATCTTATGTAATGGGCCAGCATTCAAATTTCCAACACAGTTTCTGAGACGTAATTCAAGAGGTAACTTATCATTGCATTTGAACTATTATATTAGTTGGTGTTATTCTGCGCGATAAACAATATTGGGGAAAGGGCTTCCATGCATATACGTTGAAATCACCAAATAAACAGCTCATGCACACACTTCTCTACTTTGTCGTAAGTACAGAGCAGATTTTATACTTTCGTACTGTTCTTTGTTTTTAATGTGTACAATTATTCTTCTAGTTTAAGGTTATTTATGATTGATCCTGTCGTAAGTCTTCAACCAGCAACCCGGCCATCGACAATATTTCATGTTAGCGTTGTCTTTGCCGTTACGTTGGCTTCGCGTTACTTTTGTTTTAAATACCATGATTGCGTTAAACGAGTTATTTATCAGGCCAGTGACACTTAGCATTAACGTCCTTGTGATTTTATAGGGATATCGCTAGAACTGTGGATGTTAGATAGCGTTGTCTGTACCTCCCCAAAGTTGTAAACAAGATATGTTGCCCACGTCCAACACGCATAAGATTACATAACTCAAACTTTTGTTAAAAGAAAGACTAGTTAATAGAAATTGGTCCTTTTGAGTGACATAAGAGTGTGTCATCGTCCATCCGTGTCATTGAACAATGAAAAAATTTGTCGTGAAATTAGTGAACATAAAATAGCAGTTTGTGAGAAAACGCAAGTTCTACGGAGCGGGAACTTTTCGGATTTGAACTCAGCGTGTTCAAAAGTGCTAGTTCCCGCAAAAATATTTCAGTTCCACCATATGCACTACGAAAGTGAACGATATCGGGACGCAGCAAACGGCCTATTAGTATTTGCATTTCCTTTCCTAGTTTTAAAATTAGTCTATAATGGGAATTGTCTATTACAGGTACATATACGCTAGTTCTATTCTAAGCTTTCTCACACTTCTGTGAGTTCTAGTGCTTCCAGCTCCACAAATTAGACGGACATCGTTTTAAAACATATAAATAATCAGTAAACAATTAAAAGTTTGAAAAGTTGATTACTGCTTCCTTCTATATGTACTTGTCAAAATTTTCATCTTTTTTATCTGGCAAAATTTTGCTCTCGTCAAGATAAAGAGACGAGCTACACCAAGTTAAGAAATAAACCAAACTTGGAAATGTATACTCGTCAGTATTGGAATAGCTCGCTCCATAAAACAACAAACCCCGCTAGCTTGCTCGGACATTGATTCTGCTTCTGATTTTCGAATCGGCAGAAATGGCGAACGATTGATCAGGCATCATTTCTGGAACTCGTAGGAACATTTCAGGATTTTTTTCTGCACTTATAATGGCCAACTTCCCCCCGGGCTTCAAACATCTAAATGCCATGTCAAGAAATTTGATCTTTTCTTTTCGATTCAACCAGTGAATGACTGAGCAGCAAAACAGAATATCGTAAAAAGCTTCGTTGTAATGAGGAAATTTGCTTGAACTATCGCCTACAAAAATTTGAATATTATAAATAATGACTAAACGGTACAAACCAGCCAAATCACTCGCGATCGATTCGAGTTTATTTAATATTGTCAATATTAACAAGAATATTTTAAAAACTGAATTAATATTGTCCGTTTTTAGACTTCTCATTATAATTATTTCATTACATCGATTTTAACAAACTTGCCACCGACACCGTTACTTTGTATCTGATTTAGTGGGCGTGTGGTAAAACACGGAACACCTGAAAAAACTCTTGCTGACTGAAATAATAATGATATTCGTTAATAATTTATTAACAGATAAATGTTAATAATAGTAAATTCATATTATCATAATGATTTTCAAAAATGTAAGTATCGTTGATATTATTTACGTAGCATTTTCTTTGCGTGATCGAACTCAGACACAGGTCACTAGGATAAACTTCCTGATTTCATGGCGTAGACTGTACGGACATGATTATTTTACTACGAAATCGATTCTTCTTCTCGCGCAACCTCGTTCCCAGTTTCTCGCGAAGCTTTGATCTCTTACAGACGCAAGTAATCCCCGAGGCAATAGCGCGGAGCGCCGTTCCAGGCGTAAGCCCGGGGCGAGGGTACTAATTCCTCCCGGCTATTTACACCCGGGGAAACGAAAGCATTAGCGAAGTCTAAAGTTCATTAATGATCGCGGGCGTGGGTTACCGTGCGTGTTTCGGTGGGTGACATAGATCATAGACAATCCAGGAGATATTGTCTTCTGGATTGTCTATGCATAGATATAGGAGACTAGATTGATTGCTGACTCGGCTGCAGAGGCGCGCCAAATTTGAAAATCCAAAATGGCGGCTCAACCGGTCAAAAATCATAGACAGTGAATATGCAAAACGATGTTTTTTGCATTTTACGTCCGCCTTCTGTTTCCGATCCCGTTGAACCACCTTTTGTTGGGAAGAACTAACTGGTGTGAAAGTTTTGGATGTATATTTGTTCCAATTAGTACAATTTACAATTTAGAATTCAACCAGGCAAGAATGGGCAAGACGAAAAGCGCGCGAAACTACCAGCCTGGCTTCTTTGACTGTGTATTCCTTCAGTCTTTTACCAGTTTTTCTCAAGTAACGTGATATATATCTAACTATTCTAAAAGCTACTACTGTTTATTTTGTTCTTTCATTGTTATTTTGACCAAAATACAGTATTTTCATCTGAAAATTCTAGGGCATTCTATTCTAAAAAATCTGTTTTTTTATCGAAAAGAATGCCTTGAATCTCGGCCTGAATTGTGTGCTGAGTATAACTGCAAGGCCAGATGTGGGGATTTAAAAGATGGTATTCGCTTGTCCTTCCATAAGTATGTCCATGAAACACACATATCGTATATTTGTACATTATAACATACTTCATATAAACAGAATAGTACAAGACTATTAAAACAAGACAGCTAGATTTAATAGCATAAAAACAATTTGTTTTGTAAATACAGTAATGACAACAAATGTAGTTTTTAGCTTGTTGGCTACAATATAAAACTGTTTACAGTTTTAATAAAAGAACATTAGACCAAAAAGAACTTCTTGTTTTGATGTGTTGTACCACATGCCTTGTTGAGAGCAAGTTCATGGGGTATAAATACGAGTGTCTCACGTATCTAGACGTGTACCAAGCTGCACTGACGAGGCGTTGGACGCGGAAACATGCATGTCTGCAGATTGTACTATATATATATATATATATATATATATATATATATATATATATATATATATATATATATATATATATATATATATATACCGTATATATATATATAATTGTTGTCTTTTCTACTTAAAATTAATTAAGTTGCGATTATTACAACAATTATAAAGCTCTACTAATATTGGTGTTGAGCACTCTTCAAACTACTCAGTGCGTTCATACTTTTGTTTGAATCAACGATTATTATATATATATATATATATATATATATATATATATATATATATATATATATATATATATATATATATATATATATATATATATATATATATATATATATATTTCATAGAGGTCCTTGTCCTGTTCAAGTTCAAAAAAATTTGAGTTTTGTTCACATCAGTGAACCAAAAATACATATTTAAGTTGGATAACAGCAATGAAATGGGCAGACTGGATGCCAACCAAATATTCAGTATTGTGCGAGAAACAACTTACACCGAACGACTATATATTAACCATAGATATCTTATATACACTAGATAGTGCATCTAATTATTCTGCAATTCAAAAATTGAAGTCGTGATTGCAGACTCAGGATATTCCGAGCTGGCGTGCTCATATACCACTGGTGGTGGTGTATGTGTCTATTTAGATACAAGATACCATGCAAATTATTAAATTCCTGCGTTGAAGATGATGTTGAATCAATTTGGCTGTCAATGAGACCGTATAGACTACCGAGACAGATTACATCAATCATGATATTGAGTGTTATATACCACCCACCTAATAGCCAGAGGAATGAAAATATTATCCTAAAACATCACGTCCAGAAAAATTTGGATGCTATTTTATCTGAACAACCCAATGCGCTTATAATAATAACTGGTGATTTCAATCCCAATTCCACCGGTCTCCAGTCAAAAGAAATAGTTCAACCAAATCACTTGTATGAAATTTTTTAGCGGACAAAATATCTGAAATGTATCAATCGAGTTTATGCGCTATAAATTGATGTTATGTGGTATACATTGGTGTTATGTACAAATACATCAATGTCATAAATCGATACAACTAAAAGATAAACGATACAGCTAAAAGATAAACCGATGCAACCAAAAGATAAACCGATGCAACTAAAAGATGAGGAAACGGAAGTAAATACAAATAAAAGATGAGGAAACGGAAGTAAATACAACTACAAGATGAGGAAGCGGAAGTAAATTGGAAAAACGGAGGTAGCGCGACGAGCCAACATACAACAATAGCGAGCTTAAGCATGTAGGACGGCAACACAGAGGAGAGACATACAGAGTTGTAACTAGTGTACCCACTTTTTTTGTGCGCATGCTCGGCAAGTTACTAGATGCATGCATCTGATTGGATGACGACCTGATGACGACTCATTTTAAACTTGCTGAGCACGCGCAGTTGATCATTTTTTGCCCGGTCGCCTGAAAAAACGTGGTACATGAAAACGTAAGCTTCCGCAGTGTTTACAACGGTCAGTTACAGCTCTGTATGTCTCTACTCTGTGCGTCGCGGCGACGACGGACAAAACAAATTCCTTCAAATAAATTATAGTAAAGAAAACTTGTTAACGTTGTATATTATAATTCGTATGAATTTAATACAGTATAAGAAGTTGAAAACATTGGCTTTATGTTTGGGAAGAGTTCTACTGAACCGAATTTCAAGTTGCACTTGTGACGGCTTGAAATGCAGGCGTTGTATAAAAGACGTGAAAATCTGTGATTTGCCGTTGTAAACAGAGCGACGACTAGGCTATATATACGTTTAAAACTCCCCTGCCCCCTGGGACTTTAATTATTTACATCTTTTCATTGACTCATTGTATTGGTTGCCGTCGCTGTCGTGTTGCCGTCCTACACGCTTAAGCCCCCTAATGGCGTCTCTTGGACCACGCATTTGGCTTCCTAATACAGAAAACGTTTTCCGTGAATTGGTTGATTTAATAAGAAATGCTGAACAAAGTCGCACTCATTGTGACTCGCCAGACTTTTATTGTCGTAAATTAGAAGGGTATGAACGCACATTGAGTGTTTTAACAATAAGAATCAGCGAATCATACACACATTATTTATACACAGACGCATTATTTGGTACAGACGAATTCTGAGTACGTGGTATTCGGAAACGAGAATTGAATTCAGTTCTTCGGATAACGATGTGAACTGCTGCACTGAACCACCTTGTGATACTGCGTTTTCTTCACGTGTTTGCGAAGAATGCTGTAAATTGGTCACCGCGCTTTAAGAGGATTGACTGAACAAAATCCTGAACATTTGGTACTCCGCCCCTCGCTCTGCCCTGTCTCTCTTCTGCCATGTTTTTCAATATGTATTCACTAGCTTTAAGCTTGGCGCCACTTGGCACACGCAATTTTGCCGAGTCGCTCTACTTCCGTTTTTCCACTTCCTCATCCTCATCTTTTAGTTGTATTTACTACCGTTTCTTCATCTTTTATTTGTATTTACTTCCGTTTCCTCATCTTTTAGTTGTATCGGTTTATCTTTTAGTTGTATCGGTTTATCTTTTAGTTGTATCGATTTATGACATTGATGTATTTGTACATAACATCAATGTATAGCACATAACATCAATTTATAGCGCATAAACTCGATTGATACATTTCAGATATTTTGTCCGCTAAAAAACTTCATACACTTGAAACAACTCGTGAAATTTAAAACGAGGGATTCCGGAATCCTAGATTGGATGTTTGTGAATAAGCCCAAGATGTTTGACTTAACTCGGTTACCCAAAATTGGAACCTCAGACCATTATACGATATTAGCAAAGCCAAAACCTAAATCTGGGACCAAACCGGTAATTAAGAAGATAAAGATAAGTGACACTCGACACAGTGCTTGGCGTACATTTGGAAGGAGAGAAGGACTGGAGCGCTGTATTAAACGCTCCCTCCTGTGAAAATAAATGATGCTTTCATGTGTGAACGTAACTCTGCCATTGATACTTTTCTCCCACTCCAGACTATTAAGAAATACCCCACTGACCGACCATGGATGACAAAGAAAATTAAAAATTGTATCTATAAACGACAAATTGCGTTTATTCGACATGGAAAAGATTCGCTAAGTTTTAAGTTTTGGAGAAATAAAGTACAATGTGAAATAAAAATGGCCAAACATCACTATTATAACAATCGAGTCTCTAAGCTGCAAAGCTTGCCGAGCATGCGCACAAAAAAGTGGGTACCATAGTTATAACTCTGTATATGTATCTACTCTGTGTTGCTATGCAGGTTGCTAAGATATAGAGTGATGTTAAGTTAAGATTGACTATCGCTGACCGTGTAGTGCAGGAAATTGCTTACCAGGTCCCGCATCACACGTCGATCAGCGAAATCACTGACGTTGCGCCGCCCTATGTAAGCGCCCTGCTTTGCAGTAACAAATTTGCGTGGTGATTCCACAAACAAAAGTATTATATGTTTTATCGCGATGCAAATCTACAGATAATTTATTTTAAAACGTCTTGCGAAACGTTTGAGGTTGAATTTTACCTCACATTGAAGCTTATGTTACGTATAATAACATACCTAACACTGATATACATATTTAGCGGGAAATGATGTTGTAATTAAAAGTGATATTTGTAGGGGATTTTTCATTTGCAAAAATATTCGTAACAAACTATTATCGTGTTACCATGACAACTACTTTAAATACTTCATGTTCGGAAAATACAGTGGTTTTGTCAGCAAGGCGAGGGGTTTCTGCATGCATGTATTTTCTAGTAGTAATTAATACAAGTGTTAGGGTTAGGGTCGGCTGGATTTAGGGTGTTGAATATACTGAGAAAGCGACCCCCCATGATTCCTCTACCAATGACCATTGTTGATTTCATAGTACATGTTATTTAGCTAGAGCCAAAATTGAATTGCCACTCAATGCCTGCTATGCAGGCTAGCAACTACCTTACTATAGTTGTGAGATGACTGGAGCGAGGGTCTGAGGTACTGAACAAATTAAGGAAAGTTGTACTTTGCACTATTCACACGTTACAATAAAACTCATCTTCATTAGTATTCTTTATATAAAAGTCAATCTTAATTTGTATTCTTTGTATAAAGAATACTCATAACTATTGTGGTCGTGTTTGAAGCTATTCAAAACACTTGTAGTCGTGTCCCACCACGCTATATGCCCTACCACGCTATGGTAATAAAAAAGTTTATGTAAATCAAGCGAAATCTCTATGGCATATTTAACAAATATAAAACATTTTCCGTGTTGATATACAGTTATATCAACACGAGTGGAAATTGGGAAAACGAGAAATTGTGTGGAAACACGACGCCCGAAGGGCGGAGTGTTTTCACACAATTTCGAGTTTTCCCAACTTCCACGAGTGTTGATATAACTATATATCAATACGGAAAAAATGTTTTATATTTGTTTTATAATATAGCAATGTCAAAAGCCCGAAAAATAAGAACAATTTCCGTGTTACAAGCGGCGGAAAATTTCCCGTGTTGACATGGAGTTATATCAACACGGCTCTTAGCCAATCAGCGTTCAGAATTTACAAATGCTATATTATAAATACAGATACGACACGCTTATGTTTTTTTCTTTGTGTTTTCCTCATAAATTATTGAGTTTTTGAAGTAAATATTTTGCTCTCTTGAAAATTATGTCAAAATATGAGCATCTGCATGGCGAATAAAACATTGGAGCAAATTGTGAAATAAAATTCTCTTTGACTTTGTTCAATAAAATCTATATGCATGTGAATTCCCGCGAAGAACGGCGCGAGCGCTTAAAAAAGACTAGATATTTCTCTGTGAAGATTTAATTTGTAGAGCTGAGCATTAGAAGCTAACAGCTTTCTCAATTTACACTATTACTTTTCTTCAAATTGGAGCAACAATTCGAAGAAAGGTAAGTGAGAGTGTAAATGACAAGCAATGTACTGTATATGCAGCGCATGAGCTCTGAATTTTTACAATCCGGTCATAGCTCAATCCATGAAACCATAATATATATTACAATTACGATTAACATTTCTATAGCGCAAATTTACATGCGGATATGATAAAATGGCTTTACATCAAGTATTAAGCTTACTTAATTACTTAGCCTACAGGCGTAAAAACGCTCAGGTTGAAGCAATATGGATGTAAACAGGATTGAACAATGTTGTGCTGCCCACATTGTTCACAGTTGTCAACAATATTGAACAATATTGTTACACCCGATTCAGGCTGAACAATACTGTTCAATATTGTTGACAAGTGTGAACAACGTGGGCAGCAAAACATTTTTCAGTCCTGTTGAGCAGCGGGCTCGGCGTTTTTTGCCGTGTAGACTATTTTATCTATACAACAATTGTGATATCACTTTCTTGACCGTGTTTATCCTAACCCTCACTGTTAACTTTCCCTGTGGAGGAAACCGGAGAAAACCCACGACTTTCGGCAGAGCGTTGACTGACTTTTTTCCACATAAGGCGCCTGCTCTGACGACTGCGCCACCTATATCATCATACAAGCATATACTTTAGAGTCTGATTTGTGAGGACCTGAACTCACACTACACCACCCTGACCCTAACCCATCTTACCCTAATCGGGGCATGCCCCCTCACCTTAACCGGGGGATGGCTAACTTGGAATACTTGCCCCATTTAAATATACATCTGAACAGAACGAGAACTGACATACTGTAGAAACTCGGCATTCATAGAATCATTGATCTGTTACGTTTAAATGAGTCAAGCCCCGTGGAGTGTCGTTGATCATGAGAATAGGAGTTGAACATTTGCTTGTATAAATAAGGCATTGTTACCATACTTGTTGTGATAGACATGATAAGATTGGCACATTCCAAAAGTCAGCAGGCATTGGAATAACAAAAACTCGTTTTTCACATATTTACAGTAAGTTGTGTACTTCATATTTACATATTATCCTACCCACTTTACATATTTTCATGACTTATAAATTAAACGGTTTAATTTGTAAAGAATGTATATCCAGTTCTTTCATTTGGTACACACTATGATATAACTATTCTATAATTATAAGCGGTGTATATTTTGAATATCTTGTCTCTTTTCTATATTTCCTTCTTCTTCCTCAACAATGTCGATAGCCACACTATTTGTTTCTGCAGAAACGTTAGAACATGCATGATCAGTTTGGCAAACACCAACAGTAGGTTCAAGCTCATCGCGTGATAAGTGTTCGACGACAGCACAGGCAACACAGCATGCCCAGACATTTGTTGGAGTTGTCAAACGATCCCTACATAATAAAATTAATAGGACGAAAAGTTAAGTGAGCTACAGTATTTCAACAGCATAGCAAACAAGTCAGCAAGATTCCGTCATTGCCTTTGACATGCAGGCGCTTTCTATAATTCGTGCAGTTATACGCATGGGCTTTATTCTGTATTAACTGTTTTTGCTTTTTTGTTTAATTTAGGAAAATATTAGAAAAAAGCAAGCCAACTTTCGCTAACCGATTCTTGATTTAACTTTATAATTTAAAATTAAACAAACTTTAAGGTAGATAGTTACTTACATTAGCCAATCTACAGCAAGTATCAATGCAATGTCAGCTGAAGAAATACCAATGACTTGTAACACTATAGTTCTCGTTACTATAGGTACTGATCCAGTGATTGGTGCTGCAGCCACTGATGCCAATGTCGCTGCGAAACTGAAAAATACAAACACAGGAATATTAAATTGTCAGGCTCGCTAAGTTGCAAAATTGCTAGATATTTTGTTATTCATATCTTTGTGTGTGAACATGGCCATGGTTTTGCGCGACATTGATATTTAATTTTGCTCTGCAATGTTTGATATCCAGTGTTTAAATATACGTGAGGTCAAACATATATACTATATAATTATTGGCTTGAATGGAGATAAATTTATATGAGATAAAAAAGGAATGTCTGGGCTCCACCCACACATTTAAATTGTATTGTGTACATTTGGAATAATCAGCATCTTGACATGAAATCATATCAGCTGCATCTCAAATATTTACAATGTGTGGCTCTTTTCGTTTTTCGTTTGACATTCATGTAGGTACTCAACCAGGGAATCTCGAATAAATAGACTATATATACAATCGCATAGTATGCAGTATAGTAAGCTTCAAGGAGAATTACCTACCATATTAAGACAGCAGAACCGAAGTTAGAAGCATTTCCATGGTAAATTTTCACAATATAGATCGCAGCCACAGCAATATATATTGCAGTTCCGTCTTTGTTTACTGTCGTTCCAATTGGAAGAACAAATTGAGTGACACGGGGATCAAGTTTGTGATTCTTTTCAAGGCAATTTAGTGTAAGAGGAATGGTTGCAGAGCTAAAATAAGAATCATAGAAAAAGACTATTTTAAGATGTTAATTAACGTTTATTATTCAATAACAAGTCTACATATGCTTGAGTGCAACATTTAATTCATTACTATTATAGTGTCACCCTTACTAAATATAGTAAGTGCATGACCAATATGAATAATTTACATTAATTCATTCTCACCTTGAAGCCGTTCCAAAGGCAGTCAGTAGCGCCTTGGAGACACGACTTAGCAGAAGGAATGGATTACTTCTTAACAGTGTAAAGTATATAACTGGTAGGACCACTAAAGAGTGAAGCAGGGATATGATAACCACCATTGCAATATACAGTCCAAGACTGGAAACATTCCCATTGATATCTTTCATGGCGGCTAACTCACCAGCAATAATACAACCAATACCAATGGGTGAAAACCTTTATTTCAGGAGAAGATTTTCATTTAGGCAGATATAAAATGCATGATAATTTCAAATACGTGTTTAAATAATTAAATGAAAAGAAATTAAACCTATATTGAAAAGAGCAAGAGTGAAAGAAAAGTAGAAGCAATATCTAAATATTAATGATTTAATGTTCTTGCACATATTTATGGCATCTATACAATGTCCATGCATTGCTTTTTTTCAATGAAATGTTCGACTTAAATCTGGATCACAGATCATAATCAATCGTAGTGTTTCCCACAAACATAAAATAATTTCAGCATGTATATGATTAATTAATCAAAATAAAATAAAAAACGGTATAGAACTGCATAAGAAAAAGCAAACTGCACAAAATGATTACATTTTCTATCAAAATAGAAGTTGACAATAGCTAGTTAATACCTACCACATGAATAAGTCCACCATTAAACAAACAATCAAACCAGGATACCAATGGTTTTCCTTCTTCTCCAAGAGTGTGCAAGATTACACCACAAACAACCGAAAATGTAAGAATGCCCAAAATATTTGCTGAATTGTACTTCTCTTGGCCATCATATTCGGAAATTGCATTTTCTCCTTTGATCACTTGCACATTGTCACTTGACATACCCCATGGGTTAATTATTTCAGTCTTTAGAAACGACGACACATTTTTAGCAGACGATTTCACACCAGCAGTTGTTTTATTCACGAATTTATATTCTGTCGGTATGATTTTATGCTTCGTACCAGTCTAAAAGTTTTATAAAATTTAATGTATGGAATACCTTGGTTTTACCTTTAAATCACCTTGGCTTTTTAAATCTATGAAATGTGTTGGCGAGCAGTAACCTTAACTCTATATACGTATATCGTGACAGGCTATTAATGAATGAATTCAAAATTAATATAATATTATCGTATCATTTAGGCTACTTACCGATGAGAAGCTTGCTTCCACAATATTGTCAGGAACCATGTTTCTGAAATAATTAAAGAAATAAATTATGTTAATTATTTAACGCTATGAGATGTTTTCAAATTAAACCAGCTTGCTTGTTCAAACATTAAAAGGCAAATCACCACATTAGGTTATCTTATATCCCATATAATTAAACTGTCATGAGCTATTTTATTTACTGTAGTTATACCTAAGCATATCCAAAATGGCATGAATGGCACTAGATCCTTTGGGTTTTTAGAGTTTCTGAGTTTCGTGGACGTTTGGTTTCAAGAAAAGAGTTGCTAGGACGACAGCAAGGACAACTGCAATAAGACTTGTTAGGAAAAAATAAATAAATGCTGTTTTTCCAAGTTTAGTTGCGGATTTTTTGTCCAATGTGGCCAATGAGATGATAACACTTGAGACAACGAAAGGTAATACCAAGAGTTGCAGCATTCTCAGGAAAAGTTCACCAGGAAACGAGATGAACATGGCCAACTCTTTTGGTGTGGGGTTGGTTGAGTTCTGTACCATTTTGTTGACGAGAAATCCTGCGAGAAATCCAAAAATCACTCCGAACAGCAGCAACACAAACAGAATATTCGTTTTGAGCCATTGGAAAAAAGACGTAAACGTTTTGGAGTTGAGCAGCATAGTTTAGATTTTGCAAAACTCTGAACTCGATGCGCTTATTAGCAAAGGAAAGCGCGAACTGAAAAAAGATTCGAGTTGCTCGCATCTATATAATTATAAGTACGTTCAGATTATTTATTCATCGTACTGTACGTGCAGATAATATGCTACGTGTAGGTAACTGTTCGAGAGTGAACACCATGCCGAGACGTGTTCTATATATAGTAACTTATCATTTAAAATTTTTAGGTTGTGATTAATTTTCCTATTTGAATGGCGGCGGCCGCCGCATATTCATTTAATTTAATGAGCATGAGCCCGTGAAAACTCAACTAATTGTGGTATGCTACTGAACGTGCAGGAGTGTAAAGTGAGGTATGCTGGCATGCTACTGAACGTGTAGGAATGATAGGAATTTGACTAAAATTCAAATTTCATTTAATTTAAGTATATGGCAACGGTTATACAGCTGCTATAATTATATTCTGTAGCATCTGAATTGGTTGTCATGTAGCCTATATTCACTATTTCGAAACATTTAGTGTTAAACGTATCATGATCAGATATTCCAGAATGGACTAGTCTAGCTTAAACAGCATCAGCATATTATTAATTGCTGTTGTTTCATGAATATTACTGCGTTACTCCACAAACAAATCTATAAATAAGTGCATGTGGTCCACAAACCACTCTAAATCGAACAGTTCTTGAACACTGAATTCAACTATCTGCATGATTCCCAACCTTCGCTCGAAACATTGAAGTTTTACTTGTATTTTTCAGGTAGTTGAATCCTTCTCAATCCGAAACTTTCTGGTGTTCAGTTAGCTGTTAACATGCATGCACAGTCAACGAAAACGAACATATAGTCTCATTAGTTGACCTGCACGGAAGCACATAAGCGAACGTAAAGCCTCATTAATATCATTATCGTGACTCAACCTACGCAAAATTGGTGACTCTTATTAGAGAGTTTTAGCTTGACGTTTACGGCAAACGTCAAACCGCTAATGAAGTTTTTGATTTTACAACTTTATTATCACAGCTTTCATGGGCGTACCGGGCGGGGGGCGGCAGCCCCCCAGTTTGTTGGGGGGGGGGGCTGCCGCCAAAAAAAAATGAGACAAATTCTGTAAATTTTGTGGTAAATTTTGTGATGTTTCGAAAATTGTGTTAGGTTCCGGAAAATTTTGGTATGTCCGAAAAAATATTTTGACCCCTAAAATGGTACACTGACCGAAATTTTTTTGGCGACGGGGGGGGGGGAGAGGTCGCCAAAATAAATTCCGGAAAAATTTTTTAGTCGGGCAAAATCCGAAAAAGTCGGGCAAATTTCTTTCCGCCCCCCTAAATTTTTCCTTCCGGTACGCCCATGACAGCTTTTACACCAGTTTTGAAATATATTAAACAATTATTAAACTTGTGTTCTTAGCAATGATTTAAGAAAGCAAATTAACCACTAGTCACGTATTCACCAAAGCAGTAAATTAAGATTTGGCGTTTGAAGTTTACGTTTGGTGTATAAATTTCATGCTTTAACGACTACAACCCTTCGTAGCAGTTCAAGCATGAAATTTATACGCCAAACGTGAACTTCAAAACGCCAAATCTTAATTTACTGCTTTGGTGAATACGTGACTAGTGGTTAATTTGCTTTCTTTAATCATTGCTAAGAACACAAGTTTAATAATAATTGTTTAATATATTTCAAAACTGGTGTAAAAGCTGTTATAATAAAGTTGTAAAATCAAAAACTTCGTTAGCGGTTTGACGTTTGCCGTAAACGTCAAGCTAAAACTCTCTAATGGATGCTGAGGTTGCCGTGTTGGCCATATGATAATTATTTGTCTCCATGATATCTTTAATTTCTATATAGCTATTGTAAGATATAGCGCACACAGTTGTTTGAATGTAGTTGTAAGCACTGAATTTTTTGCATATACAGATTACAGTTTTAAAATAGCATTTAACGTATAGATACGTGCGATAAAGCAAGGCGAAATGGATGACCACATGGTTATTGTGAATCTTACCATGCTTAGCATAAATGCAATTTCTAAAGTGCTTTTCTTTATTTATATATAAATTATTATTGGATTATAAATGCTGCTTTTGACGAGTCAGTGGAAGAGAGCAATGTTGAAGCCCGATTGAACGCCCTCCTGAACACATTAGGGCATATTTTCCAATAATTTATCAGCCAGTAATTGCTTTGATAGCAACCTGCATCCACAGTTCCTTAGGGGCGGACCATTTGATTTTTGAGGGGGGGGGGGGGGGGAAGATTCAGTCCATGCAAGAACTTTTTTTCTACTCAAGCGAACAAGCCAGATATTTTTTTCGCGTAAAAGTGCAGCGCAAGATATTTTTTTCGCAATGTATTCCGCTGCAGGAAATTTTTTTCCCACTCATGATTACCGCTATCGTAGGTTTAATTAATAGAGGTTCCAACGGCAGTATTCTGACCTTTTTATTATACATATATTATTCTGGCCTTTTCATTATACGTATATACAATGTGATGGATTTCCATGCACTGAGACGAAGGGCTGTAGACCTGCACCACGGTTGTTCTTTTCTTTCAGGCCGTCATAATACAGCCACCCACCATTGAAAAAGATCTTGCATGTGTAGTGGTTATTGAGATAATATGTTACTGCATATAGGCGGTACCTGAAACGAAAACTTAAAATTAGTGGCAATAAATGTAGATTTCAATGAAATCGAATATATTAAGGAACTTCGTCTGAAGCTATATGGACATTCAAATGTCTCTTTTAAGTTGCCTGCTCCTAAAAAATGCATTTATCGCTGTGACAACTCATACAGTGTCCCTGCTCATACATAACACGTTTTACCAACCTACCTTCTGCCAAGGAACTGGATATTATCTAGAATATCCTTCTCCTCCAAAACACCTGCAGTTACTAAGAACTCGACATTGATTGCCAAGAATTTTGGTGCACCGTCAGGAAACTGGCGATTGGATTGAGTTCTAATGCCATCACAGTAAGCATGTTGTGTCACTCTTAAAAACAGAAATTAATTGCCATTATTTTATCTAGAGGAATATGCATCTCTATTATAAATACGTACAGTAATAAATAATATAATACAATGTTAACTTACATGTGTCTTCCACTGGAATCTTGACTCGTTGAAGTCCCAAGAAAAAATGGAGCCCCAGATGGGACACGTTGCACCGGGAATCGCCTACTACAGCGCGTTTGCTTGCTACACACAACCCACGATTGGAGTATAGACTCCAACAGACTATATCCGGGAGAGCAGTAGTTCTGAATGCTAAAATTGAAGCGAGAACAATAAGAACTTTGGTCGCCGTGATATAGCCTCCATTTTCCAATATAAAATCCAATTGGAGGAAAATTTAACAATATAGTTTTATGCAATTCAGGAGAAATTATAAAGTTAAATAATTGTATAAACACTTATTGATATCTAGCTCTATTCTTCTTTATCAAATAACTGAATTATGTTGTAATAATTATGCTTTATGGAACCTCACTTGAGAGCAACTGTGTTTCCCCATCTTAAATGCACGCCAGGCAATGGACACATGGGTGAATTGCAGGAAGAAGACGCGCAAGACCTCATGAATGGCATAAGATGCTGTGTGAATAGATTCTCTTCATTTGCCCAGGCATTCAGTAGTCCTGATGCAGCGGGATGCATGCCAGGATTCAAGGCAAGCCACTCTAACTTTGCTTTGCCATATTCTCCATTATCAATAAGGTCAAAACATCTGCACAAGGTTTGTGCCACCAGTTCATAACTGCTTGTGAAAAGATTTTTTATCTCTTGTGACTCTTTAAAGAGAAGATAAAATATCATCAAACAGTTGTCAATAGGGCATGTATTTACTAACACAATTGTTCTTCCTTGCACGTGTAAGTCACCGCCCCATGGTAAAACATTAAAGCTACTTGCAGAATGAACAGTAGCAGAGAAAGTTCTACTGGCGGTAGCAGCTGCTGCAAAAGTATTGGTAGTAGTGGTTGAAGGAGGAACAGCAGCAGCATCGGTGGCTGTGGTTGTTTCTGCAGGAACAGTAGAAGTAGGATTACTTGAGGTAGTTGTAATAATAGGAGCAGAATTGCCCTTCCCTTCTTGATAAAAATGCCTTTTTATGGCCTCTGCTTTTTTGTCCTTTGTGAATCCCTTCTCAGATATCTGCATTTTTGAGAATCCTGCCACTTTGTTTAAGTATTTATCCAGTTGTGAAACATACAATTTCTCAAGCGACCCAGATTTAATAAGGTCTGCCCAATCAATGTCATACACAGATTTGGACATCTCCTTTTCCTTATCAGAGGCTCGTTTGGTTTTCTTGGTGTGAGCCTTAACCATTTGCTGATGCCTTTTTTTCATCTCGTACTCTACTGCTGGTCGGAGATCTTCACCAGTGAATTTCTCCGTTATTTCATCCACACTTCCCAACATTTTGTTAAGTGTGTCATTATTGTCGTTCCAGAACTTGCTGATAGAACCATCATCGTTTATTGTGTTAGAATGTTGAATATCTAGAGGTCCTATTTCTTTGACAGTCTCTTCAATTTTCACCCTGGGACAAAACTCGTCCACATTTGGAATTGAAGTTATCTTGCCAGGAACGAAGCTTAAATCTGGGATGGTGTATTGAAATTCATCCTTGAAATCAGATGGGACAGGAGCAGGCACTCTATTAACTGGGGCTCCCCGCCAATCACAACCTAATACATTTCGGTGTATCTCACACATTTTTCCTGAAACTTGGCAGCCATTTCGTATTCCTTCAATACCTCCATCGTAAAGTATGTAATGCTCTTCCACAAACTTGAGCTGTTTTGAATAGTACTCACTACCTGCACAACCTTCCTGCATGGAAGGAGTTGCATGGTGAAATCTCTGTATAAATTCATCATCAAAAAAGAAACTGTCAGAAACGTCACATGCCGGAGTCAGGGCATGTATTGTTGTACCCATACATTTTTTACCCTCATAGCGGTTCGCTATGTCCTTTGCACATTGTATGGAAATTTCTTTTTGTCTTTGTTGCTCCAGGCTTTTGAATTCGTCTTGAGTTAGCCCATAAATCTGCCCCTTGCTTAAACCATCAAACAGAGGAAGTCTAGGTATTGGGATGGATCTTCCATCGCCAGTGGCTTCATTGAGGCTCCTCATCACTTGCTCAGCTATGTGGGAGCGAGAGTCATTGGAAGCGTAATGAATTCTAGCCTGGAGATCAAGGTTGAATATCTGCAAGTACTCGGCCATTCTCAGCTGGACAATCTTCTCATGTGATGACACTCCAGGCCCTGCATCACTTGTTTGAACATCGATTGGCCGATAATTGAGATATTTTTACATTAGATATTTTTACATTACAATCCAAAGACCCAATGGTATAGCTATCCCCGGGCAAGAAGTCACCTGCATTCTGGCAAACAATGATCGATATGAAATAATGTGTTTTTTATTTACCAGTCCCTGACACTGCCTAGGTTCATTGTATCTATAAAAATACACATGAATATATTGCTTCTTTTAAACAAACCAACTGTCCCAGAAGTGATTACAGTTAAATGGGTGTCCAAATAAATCTCTTTAATCTTTTTGAGTTGTATGTCTTACCTATGCTGGGGAAGGTTCAATGATTCCAGACAAATGCGGCACTCCTTCACTGTTGTCTCAGTCTCCACAAAGGAAGTTGTTAGTTGATCAACGTTGACAGTAGTTGCTTTCTCCACAATCTCTGTAATGAACAAAAATATTGGGGGTCAAACTCTATAATTCATAGAAAGGTAAGCTAAATGTGATATTACATAAAAATATAAAAACTGTTCATTTTGAAAATGTGCAAGCACCTTTCAATTTTTGAAGAACTTCTATTAATTAAATGTTCCATCTGTTTCATACAGTCTTCGGCCTCAGCAACCATTGGCAAGAATTTCCTTAATCTTTCCAGTAACACACTGACACGTAACAATTCCCTTTTCCGGTGATCTCCCCTTTCTGTAGAGCGGATAAAATCACTTTCCACGTTCATCATTTCAAACTGAAATAGGGAATCTCTTATCACTGACAAACATATCTGGCATTCTTTTGACAGATCTAGATGATAATCCTCAGACTCTTTCTCTTTGAATGGAAGCTGTTGTTCGACCTCTGATGCTTCTGTTGAGGTGTGTTTATTGACGGTAGCTGACTGGATATTTTCTGGGTGACTAGGATCAGATTTTGCTGCATCGTGTACTTCAGTTTCTAGCTCATGTTTCTCTGGGTACATATATCGAATTCGATAAATGTCATTAAACCAGTTTGTAGCTGAACTGGGATAAACTTGTTTTGGTTTGCAAGTAACTGTAACAGTTACATCCTCCTTCGCGTACCTATCTCTGTCCTTATAGCTCACTTCTTTCATGTCATTGACAAGAAGGATGACCCCGGGAGATACATATCCACATTCTTGAGGATAGTCAGAAGATGGCAGTTTAAACTGTAAGTTTTATCCAGAGAGCTGAACAGGAGTATGGAGTGGTCTGCTGAAGCCTTCAGAAGTGCCACACCTCAAGTAGGCCTTATCATCAATTGCCCTACGAACTGCAAATTTCTTAAATAGTGAACCATTCTTGAATAATAACCTTGTGTAATTCTTAACATGTGCTCGATTATAATGAATATATACATGTTGTTCTGACCTTTTCTTTTCAGATCTCTTGCATTTCCACAATCCTCTGCCCCGATGTTGCTTGGCTTGCTTTGATCTTTTATTTCTTGGTTTTCCCCATGACCTCACTGTCTCTAAACTTTTAATCATTGGCAATCCTTTACTTTTCAGATGCTTGTTCGCAATTCGCCGTAGCTCTTTGCCTTGGATTCTCTTTCCTTCAATATACCCTGTCCCTTCATCACCCCAGCGCCTATCGTGTACTTTCAGTGTCTCATACAACACGCTATGCACTGTTGTTTCTGCACTTCTGTCAATCCTTGTGCGGTTTTTCCCTTTGCCTAGCTGTCGCCTCAGTCCAGACTTCCAACGGTTGAAATAATAACGCTTCTTTCTCTTTTTTTGTTGTACCTGCACAGCACTTGTTCTCAGCTTTTGCAGTCGCTGACGCTTATTTTCTATGTCAAATTCCAAGTCACCAACTTCATCTTGGTTACATCTCTTTCGTTTGCATTGTATGCGTTCTTGACTCGTCTCAATATCACTAGCAAGTCTTTGAACCAGTTCCTGCACATTACTATCAGCCATCTCCTCTGCTTCCACTTCTTTACTTTCTGCTTGTCGTGCTAATTGCAGAGTTTCTGTACACAATTGTCTTGAAAAGCTCTCATTTGACTTCAATATCAGATTCATGTTAGTTCTAGACATCAGAAAGCTCAAAATACAATAAACAACAGCTAGATCCATTGCTGAGCTTAATAATTTCTTGAATGCTGGAAATAATGATGCCAAAAGCATCAGACGTGAGTGTTTTGACAAATCCTCACTGCTCTTGCTTTCCTCTATAACAGTATTGACCCCTTTGCACAACTGTATGTTGTCAACTGGTTTCTGCATTAACATAACATGCATGGAACTTCCGGCCTCAATAATAATCACTGGCAGCCCATCTTTCTGCAGAACGAGATCTCTGAACTGGATGTGTGCACTTTTGATATTTGTGCTGTTATAAATGCTAGGAACTTTCGCTGCATATTCGTCGAATGCGGCGTGGAATGGCATACAAACCCGAACTTCTAGTTCATCGAGTAAACATATGAGGGAGAAGTAAGAACTGACTTTAGACGATGAAATAGATCGTGATTTCTTTCCTAATAGTACTTGCCTTGCTTCGCCGACTGTTCTATTACACTGTGAGATACGAACATTTGACAAACCTTGATACAAGTAAGAATTTCTATGCTTTGTTCGACTTGCGTTAATACGAGACGCCATTTTCTATTTTCCCGCTCTCTTGTCTCTTCTATAGCACTTTCATTTGTCTTACATGAAGTTTTATAAGGCAAGCGGGAGAGCCAGTGGTAAAGTGTGGGCAATATGACGGACGAAACAGAGAGCTCGTATGCAAATGAAGATGAACTTGAGGTCATTCAACCGTCACTAAAAGCAAATTTGGACGCAGAAGGAACAAAACGAAAAGCAGAATCGATAGAGGAATGGCTTGCGACGCATTCTTTATCGGAGTTTTGCTCAACGATGCAGGCATTTGGAATCACAGAGGTGTCACATTTGCAAGACGTTAATACAGAAGGGGATGCGCAATCTGAATTCGGAATGTCAAGGTTTCAAGCCAGAAGACTTCTTCGAGCATTCCAGGAATGGAAGAGTCAGCAGGAAAAAGCTATAAAGCGGCGACCGGTTGATTCTTCGACCCACGATGCTGGCTCGAGTTTTAAATCTAACAACAAATCAGTAGTTGTCACACTTCCGCCGGCATTCCAAGGATACTTCGGCACCCGAGACGGGGGGAAAAGCATCATTGTCAACTGTGCAATGTTGAAAAAGAAGTGGACTTCTTTATGGTAAGAAAACCCACTCAATCCATTTCAGGAGGCAAGTAATTCATTTATTCTTAAAATGTGCGAGTCAAAGCAACATAAGTTTAAAAGTCCAAGAGAATGTGAAAAATGGGCAAGAGAGGAAAGAGGAAGGCGAATTCAGCTTTCCCTGGCAGTTGAAAAGAGAACAACAGGCTGGACAACCTATTACAAAAAGAAAAGTATATATGGAGCTCTTTCCTTGCTGCAGGAAAGATATCCAGCAGTTGCTGTATTGGATGTTGAAAAGATTTGCAAAGCCGACTATGATGCCTGTGTGTGTTTCAGGGATGAGATTGATATACTAGATAATGAACTGAAAGAACATGAAGATGGGCTGAAGAGAAACATATCATTGACACTTGATGAAAATGGATCTGTGAAAAAAGGTCAGTTGTTATTAATATTCTTTGGATGATACAATGTTTTTTATTGAAAACAATAATGCTAGGACCATGTTGACAAGCAAGCCTCACTGGAAAATTATAAATCTTAAAGCAGGGATCAAGGTTTTCTAGTGATAACATGTGTTTCATAATATCCCTACAAGCTAATTTTTCTCTATTTCTGGCTATATCTACATCCATCACGCTCTCACTTTTCCCTTGTATTTTATATTTAATTATGAACTGATGAAACATTGCATTTGCTTCTAGGGGAAGAAGAAACCCATGAATTCTACCAACCATTGACTGCAGCCTTTGAGGAAGCAAGATGCTTAATCGATAGCAAAGTTGAAAGATTGGACCAATTCTTGACCTAACTTTGTACCTAAAAAGTCCTAAGTTCTGATGTCAGAGAAACTATGAAAGGCCATATGAGGAACTGTGACAACAATGGTGTAAAAACTGATGTGTTAATATTCAAAAAATATTAATATAACAATTAATATTACTTGTGCATAGAGACCTCATACCTATAGCTACTTTTAATATAGGATATGAAAGCCTGTCAATATAAAGCTGAACCCAAGGGTGAGTAAAATGAAATAGAAGTGAATTTTGTGTGAACAAAGTTTCATCACGCCTAAAAATCCACTTCTATTTTATTTTATTTTATTTTATTTTTATATACACCTATGCCTATGGGTTTAGCATAGTGCTATCTGCTGTGAAGGAATTCTAACAATAACTAAATTTCTGCTTGATTGAAGTTGGCATTCTGCTGACATATAGACTGACGAATGGGATAAATTGTACCAAATATAAAATCACTGTGATGTTATCCACTGTTCAACCATGTGTTCTTTTAAGTCAGCAAATGTGCCTTCTCAAAAATACAAAATCAAGCACTGATGTTGACTTGGCCTGTGGACACCATACCAAAGAGCATCAGTAGTTTGTAGGAATTTTTTTTTTGAGCACTCTCTCTGCATGATATTTTTTTTCTTCGATTGTACACTGCATGATTTTTTTTTTCGTTCTTCTAGGCTTGCAGGATTTTTTTTTTCTAAATCTTCCACCCCCCCCCCCTCAAAAATCAAATGGTCCGCCCCTTACCACGACCCTACAATGTCATGTGTTTCTTCGCACTTGGCGAGGTGACGTTTTAACGTCCTACTTCTTTTACCTTTCATCTACATGTAGTTTACTTGTTTAGAAATTACTGTCGATCATTTGAATATGATTGCCTTTGCAAATCCCACATGAGTCTTTTAATGGAGTATAAAATGTAAACGTTTCTTTCGTAACTCTGAAGTTAGCATACCATAGCTCGTCGTAGGTGTCGTCCACCATCTCAAACCAGATCTGTGTTCGTGGGTGCATCCACAGTGTTCTACTTCTTTGCGATGAAAAAAAAAGCTAGTACAGTTTCAGTGAATTCTTTTTTACCTTTTCTTTTTATGTTGTGAAGCGCTATTCTACGTACACGGTTATCTTTAAATTTTGCCAAGCGTAAACGTCTCCGTTTTGTCACATAAAAATACCAAACAAGTGCCGAGTTTGCTGTTCAGTTACATCCTCCATTTTTTAAAATGCCCGCGAATTTTACTTTAAGAATTTAACCGCTGAAGTTTGATTTAAGGGCGCAGTATTTAAGCGGGCCGTATTCAACAGTAGGGGTGTTAGTGCATCTTGATGGCCCGCCAAAATTTGTAGTGTAAACGATGCTGATTTTTCAAGAAAATGGTCCGCGTGCCATTATTAAAGAGTCCGTGCCAAAAATGAGTGTAGTGTAAACGGGGCTATATATTATTGTTATTTCGTAATTAACAATCAATATTCGCCGAGGGCGAAGTGCTATCGGTCAACATTCATGCACCATAATCATGCAGTGAGCCTGCAGCAAATCATTGTTGTAGTATAAGTTTTCAACGAAATATTAAACAGAATATCTAAATATCAGTTTAAGTATTCTGAAATTAAACTGTTGTCACTGCTTGTCAGCCAGTTTATACGAGATTACTGCATGTTTAGTGTTGCATGTTCTACTTGGAAAAACGCGGTGTTTCTTGTTCGCACACGCTTTCAAAAGCAGCATCCTATATTTTTATAATATGACTTTTTTGCTTTATTACTAAGTTGTTTATCCCCATGAAGGTCAATGAAATATCTGGCTTAGAACATTAAAACACTTTCATATAATGGCTTTTCAAGCACCAACAAGTATTTTGCTAGGTTTATATGAGTTTATAAAATTATAGTTGAAAAAATACATGCATGGAAATACACAAACTTTGTAATTTTTACGAAAATGTTAATAATTATCTAGTCTAGCAGAGAAATGGAAATACTTCAATACAAATGTTCGAAAACTTAAACTATCTCAATAAAAATATAATTTCTGCTTATTTTACTCGGGAAAAAGTTGAGAAAATTGGTAAAAATAAAATGTAAATTTAATGCTCGGAATAAAGTTTAATACACTTTTCGCTACACCAAAAAGTTATAGCTGAATAGATCAAGATATGTAAGAGTGCCGTTTCCAGTTTAAGCGGGCCGAACCCAAATTTTTTAGACCAAAAAGCGTGGGTCCGCGTGCCAAAATTTAAGCGTGCCGTACCCAAAATGACTGTCGTGTAAACGGGGCTCGTCGTACCTACTAAAAATTAAGCGTGCCGTGCCACTAACGTTTGTCGTGCATGTATATAAACAGGCCTTGAATAGTTAAACATGCTGCATTTGTGTGTTGTATACGTGCAGCTCTCGTTCTTTGTAATATTACAAAGGTAATTATCTATTATCAACACCGTACTTAGAAGGTTGAAACAAAGATCTATCGTCACTGCACGTATAAACAGTTTCAGAAACGTGACTTAGCTTATATATAACACATGCATAATAATTATCGATACGTAAAACCGACTCATCAACTCTAAAATGCTACTTGTCGCGAGCAACTCTCGTTGTCAATATATAGAGTCCTATATAGACCTTTCGAGGTCAGTAAAGACTCGCTGGTACATGTTTTCAGAAGCGTGACTTATTACATATATAATTAAGTGATTACGTGCATGCGGCATGGTTATCAGTGTGTATGAAAAAACCCAGACCTTTAGAAATTAACCTTATTGTTATAATTTGGATATAGATTCATGTCTCGCTAATAGGGTTAGCGGTTAGGGTTAGGGTGGGGATTATGGTTAGCATTATAAATAGCGAGACATGAATCTATAACCTATAATTTGAATGCTATAAGCCGCTGAACACAAGAGGGCGAAAACACAATTGTCAATTGAATTGAATTTTAATTTCCAGGAGCAGAATATATTGTGCTTATTAAAACTCTTTGACGACAGTACGATTTCGCATTAGATCCAGGTGATCTTGATACGCGGAAAAGTACTGGCACTAGTTGTCAAATAGAAATCCATTTTATGATTAAAACAACTGAATATCTCCTGTAATATACTTTATTTCGATTCCATATTTTTGTCAGAGCTATAGTTCTCATAAGCAAACATAATTACAAAATTTCAACTAGTTTCATAAAGAATAACGAAAGATATAATTGACTGAATACATCAAAATGGATTTCTATTCGGACAACCCTTTCTGAGCGCTGATTGGCTAAAATACGAACACGAGATCACTTGGATTGTGACTTAATTTTTCTATTGTAAATATCTCGGCGAGTATTTACCCCCTTTTAAATAAAAGCCACCATTGAAATCCTCACAAAATAACCTTTCGAACGGGGGGTTAAGTGCCGTCAAAACATTACACAAATCGAAACAATCATATATTTACTCACCGCTTGGCCAAAGATTCTAGATTTCATATCCAGAAAATCTTGAATATCTCTTGAACTCTTCGGAATTCCCACAAGTCAATCCAAGTGAAATATTTCTTGTATTCAAGCGCTTTCGTGTACAAAATTTCTTTTAAGTACGGCGAGTAGAAATATTTATTTTGAATTTTTCAAGATGTCGGGTTTTACTCGCACGCGCGTACATTGCGCAATAATTGGCCAATAAGAAGTGTAGATGCAATTTGACCTTCCGAACCATTTCTGGCATTTGCAGGGTCATACCATAGATATCTTATATACACTAGATAGTGCATCTAATTATTCTACAATTCAAAAATTGAAGCAATGATTGCAGACTCAGGATATTATTCCCATAAAATGAGAAGATTCGTATGTTTTCTATTTTTTAAACACGGAACTTAAATATTAAGTTAAACCTATTCCAAATACATTTTTAAACTATTCAAATGATGAAAGTTATTGTTGTTTTTTAAGCGTTTATTAGTTGTGGAAACACCAATATGGCCGCCATCTATTCAAATGGTAACCGCTGGAATTTGTCGTTTTTTAGTCGTATTTCCGGTTGGCATTAGCTCACTTCGAGCTCAGAGTCGGACAAGAAATGGAAATACCGTGATAAAAGATACAGATTTGAAGATACAGGCTTCCAAATAACACTCTAAATAGTGTTTTTGATGGGGATTCGAACAAGACTATTACACATACGATATGTTCGAAGGGGCCGAAGTTATTTTCAGTGAAAGGTATGGCTAGTCTACTGATATTTTTGTTCAGACAATTGCGTAATTTGATAGTATATGATCGTGTTTGACTTTGAAAGGCCCATAAATCGCTAAAATGTTGATAATGACTATAACTATAGTAAGGAATCAGTAGAATCTTTTATTTCTGAATCGAATGGTGGTATTTCACTATTTCTTTCTTCATAGCATGCACTGAACCGAAGATATGAAAACACAAAGCTGTCAACCGCTATAGAGGTTGACGCGACTGGGATATGTCGTCAAAGAGCTTTAACAAAAATAGATTAATTTGTAAAGGCTCCTTTTTTATGACACACCCTGTACTGTTAATTACGAAATATCATAGTAGGAATTTCTATTGAAATATACACTATATTAGTATAATTGATAATGAATTAACATCCTACACAGTATAGAAACATTGATATATGCATAACTTGATGACGTATTGGGGTACACTTAAAAAGCATACTTAATGATTTCTTTTACGATTTTTTACCAAACACTTAGTGCTTTTAACAGTGTAAGAAAAACAGTGCATTTAGAAATCTCTTAAAAATGTTGAAGTCTTTCCTAAAAATTGTCAGGAAAAATGTTTTGCTTGTCTTCTTGCTTCTTGGTATTCTTTCGGGCTTTCTGCTCGGAGTGTTGCTTAACGGAACAGTCCAACAATCCACGGAATCAAGAAAATTAGCAATGTTTATTGGTTTTCCAGGAGAATTATTTCTGCGAATGTTGAAGCTTGTGTTGCTACCTTTTGTTGTATCGAGTGTTGTTACTTCTCTGACAATGATTGATAAAAATACTGCTGGGAAACTTGGAAAACGTGCGGCAGTTTATTTCGTGGTTACCACCCTGATCGCAAACAGCCTGGCTGTTGTTATAGGAGCAGTTATAATAAAACCACAAGCACATGAAATTGAAGAGGAGACGGAATTGAAAACAGGATCAAGTCCTATTTACGCCGTATTAGATATGTTAAGGTAAAGAATTAATTTTAAACTGAGGTAAACGGTTAAAGATACTGATCAACTCAAAATATATTATAATTTATATGCACTAGTAATGCCACTCTTTCGACTTACGCTTAAAAATTCACAAATCACAAAACCTAGACCTAGTATAAAATAATCTGACTTGTTCTAAGACGTCTGCTCCATAGATATCTTATATACACTAGATAGCGCATCTCTTTTAGTAAAATGGAAGCCAAGAATATTCCAGCGGTTACCCCCATTTGAATAGATGGCGGCCATGTTGGTCGTTCCCACTTGCTAATAAACGCTTAAAAACAACAATAACTTTCATCACTTGAATAGTTTAAAAACGTATTTGGAATAGGGTTAACTTCATGTTTAAGTTCCGTGTTTAAGAAATAGGAAATATACGTCGAATCTTCTCATTTCATGGGAACGACCTGAGACTGCAATCACGTCTTCAATTCTGAATTGCAGAATAATTAGATGCACTATCTAGTGTATATAAGATATCTATGGTTTGCTCTCTTTTGTCACGTAACCGGTCTCAAACCTGTCAGGTTAATGTTACATTGCCGGTCGGTTGTATATTCACTATAGACTATAGTATCGATCACATGCACATGCCACATCTTTTATTATACAAATGCATACTGTCGTCTGTACACAGTCTTGGTTTCATTGAATTTACAATTATACTGAATAATTTTTTATTTTGCTTATTCAGAAATATGGTCCCTGACAACATAGTTGAAGCAAGTATTTCATCTGTAAGCGTCCAATTTATATTCTTTATAACACTATACTATACATTAATTTTGTTGTTTATAAATACATGCATTAATTGTACAAACAGTGGCGGTGCCAGGGGGGGGCAAGGGGGCAAATGCTCCCAAAAATTATTTCCCCCCCCCCTCAAAAAAATTTATTAGTAACTGAGTGCGACTAAAGGCTACACAAGCGTTTTGTCGTTATCGGAAAATGTTTGGCTTATAAGTTGTCAATACTCATCAGTGAATGCGCGTTTACATGAAACTGTCTTTTACAGTTTCAATATTAGTTTGTAGTCTCTGAATGGTAAAACTTGCCAATACTCCAATATGATACGTTTCAAAAAAGACAAGAAAGGTTTAGTTTTGCAAAGTTAAATTCTCAAACGTGTAAAGGCCCACACAGACCGGGCGCGATTCGGCAACGCGACGCAAATTTTCAGTTTTCAAAAAGAAATAAACCCGTCAACGGATAAAAATTTTACAAGGTATGCAGACCAAATAGCTAAAATTGCTAAGTAGTCCCAAATATTTGAAAAACAATGAAAAATATTAAAGTTAAATGTCATTGAAAACTGAAAATTCGCTTCGCGTTGCCAACTATAGCGTCCGGTCTGTATGGGCCTTAAGGCACTAATAAGATGAAAGTATCACGAAATTATTTGAATAAACCACATCGCATATATGGGGGGCGAATATCCTAAAGGGGGGCGATATTCCTGGGGCATTCGCCCCTCTGGGGAGGGGCAATATTCCTAGGATATTCGTCCCCCGGGGGCGGTATTCCTAGGAATATCGCCCCCTTTTGAGAGGGGGGGGCGAATCTCCGGGGGGGGGACAAAAGTCCTTTGACAACGGCATGGGCAAATAGCAGTAACTTTTTAAAAATTCTATCTTGCCCCCCCAAAAATATTAGTTTGCCCCTCAAATG